CTTGGCCTACTACATGGGTTCCAATGAACCTTTGAGGAGTGTCAGTCAAACTTAACAACTGACCAATCTTGTTATAGGATACGCGCATGTCCCACAAAGCGCTTAACCGTTTTGCGCTGTCGTTTTATGGGTCCTTAGTAACAATGTCCATCGGCCGGTGCTAGCCGGAAAAACATCCATGGACACAAGTCCCAGTCCATTTACTTCTCAATTACCCTATTCAATTGCTAATTGGCCAATGAATTTGGCGTTAAATTAATAGTATTGACTTTTTACAATACAATAAAATACTATAGGCATATAATAATATTCTCGTGATAAAAATTAGATACAGTAGCCCTAGGTTTTGAATAAATAAACAAACGATGATTCAATTTTCCATAGAAAGACAATTTATTATCACTCAATTATTCTTCTTCGTTAGTCACAATCGTATATTTAGATATATATATATATATACATATATATATATATATATATTTTTATACTTATTGATGCTGCAAAATATCTTCGTGCGTGGATGATTCGTACCAGACGATCGTTGACAACACAGGGGCGGATCCAGGGGGCACGAGCGCTAGCGCCCCTATAAATATTTTTTTTAAATAAAGAGGGAGCACGATACTCCAAAACAAGCTAATTTTCGATTTAAATTCTACATATATATTCTGAAGTAAAAATTTCTAAACAAAAATCTCAAACACCACCACCAAATTTCCCCGCATGGCCCTACTCGGAATCTTCTCAGAATCCGCCCCTGCAACATTATAATATTTGTCTATAACATAGGCCGAAATAGCCATCTTATATAATGTATATTCATTCAATTATAAAATTATCTATCTATCCATCTATCTACTTATCTATCTATCCCTATCTGTGTTCATTCGTTTTTTGGGGTACAGTAATAGTTTTAGTAAGAAAAGTCACAAGTTATAAATACTGAATATCCCTATGTTTTTATGAAGGCATAATACGTATGTTGAGTGTTGTATGATTTTGGAAAGACACAATTAGCTGATCAAGCATTATTATTAAATAGTCCGGTAAGGCATAGCTAGTTATTGTATTTACTTATTTGTTTGTATACTCAATGAAGCTGTTTTTAGGCGTGAGTACCTACACTTTTAGACTTTGAACCATGACTTCGATATTATTATATAAGCGAACACCAACCACGGCTTCACTCTTGAGTTGTCATTCAAGATGATTCCATTTCAGTCCAATTTACGAAATTGTTTACAATAGAATATGCCCGATTGTTTTGTAGACAAGCCTGAAAGAAGTAAACAAAATAAAAACATTTCAGGGTTATTTATCATCTAATCTAAAATTATTTGTTGTTAATATTTCTTTTATGTTTTTTTTTAATATTTTGTATATAACATTTTTTCTGGTCTTAACAGGTATGAATTTAATTTCTCGAATGGCTGTCGTCATATTATAATTTTAAATCGACGAAATTATCAAGACTACTGTAGTATTTTTTTTATGTTATGTTAAAAAGAACGTTCGTAGAAAATCAGTGTGGACTGTAGGTTCAATTTCACTATCTTATACTCTTGTCAATGTAAACTACTGTACCATCTATTAGTTTCACATTAAAATAGTTTTGTGTTAAAAAAGTTTAGTGCAGAGCCTCAAATACGTAATTACAACGTAATTTCTAAATAACGTTGCTGCAACGCTGTATTAAGGTCATTTTTTGACATAACTGAACCACAACGTGAAAATATCGTTTTGTATTGGCTAAGGTTACGGTTTTTCATCATTAGGTAGTTTTCGCCGCACGACGTTAACCTTAACTTTAAAGTTAGTACCCAACATGCAGCGCGATAGCTCCGCCCCGTTTGTAAACAAATCGAAATACGCATGCGTAAACCCGTAACAAACGTAAGTCGAGAACGTAAAATCCTGAAATTAACGTACTCCGCAACGCAAGATGAATAAATTATGACGTCATCCGTTAACGTTAACGTCGTGCGGCGAAAGCTGCCTATTATGAAGTTACTTACCCAGTCATTCGCACTCAGTGTCCTCGGAAGAGAAAGGCACACCATTCAGGTAGGAATAACTCATTTGTCAATATGCGTAGACATCTTTGTTCGTCATTATCTTCTTTTGTGCGCTTACCTGTCAAATAAAATCGCTTATTTAATAATGTAAACAGATAATTTTTTCGATATTGAATGGACACTGCAAGCCCGCCTTACGGTCAGTGTGTCAAGCAAACAATTGTGTATGATCAGTGGGTATGATCAGTAGGCCTGTAATGGTAGGCTAACAATTTTACGTTTTAATGACGTTGCAGATTGCTGTTCAACGTTTTTGGTAGAACCATATATTCGTATTTATAACGTAATTTCCTATTAAATAACGTTGCAAAACATTGCTGTACAACGTTGCGTTAATTTTATTTTCCACAACGCTCGCAAAACCACATCTTTATTGCATGACATATCTATTCCCAACGTCGTTGTTCGCAGTCGTAATCATTGTCATAATATCATCATTATCATCATCATCATCAACTTGAAATGAAAAATATAATATTCAATGGAGAAGACCTAATTATTCTAAAGAGACATTGATATCGAATTTAAACGAGGGCCCTTTTCCAGTGTATTTCTATATACTTTTTGAAAAATACGAAATTATCAAGCTACAATTTAATTTTAAGCAATTAAAATTCGAGATCCAGCTTGCTAGAAATAATACGATATTAGCGCTATACAGAAA